CTTAAAGAAAGTGTTCATTGTATATGGGCATGAGACTTCTAAGAAATCTCAGAACACTCTATATTTTTCATTTATTGATCCCAAACTATATTTCCCACATTTTTTTCACTATCCCCCTCTCTGCCCACTCTCACATTAAAATCACGGGCATTGGTTGACTTGGTTTAGAGGATATCATGGTCTTTTGTATAATGGTTCTGCTTCATTTGTTCAGCCATTTTAGTTGTGTCCGATTCTTCATGACTCCATTTGGGGTTTTCTTGGCAATGATTCTGGAGCAATTGGTCATTTCCCTCTTTAGCTCATTTTACAGATGAGGAAACTGAGGCAAACAAGATTAAGTGATGCGTCCTGGGTCACACAGCTAGTAAGTGTCTGAGGTCAAATTCGAACTCGGGAAGAGGAGTCTTCCTGGCTATGGGCTCTAGCTGTATCCACTGAGCCAACTAGTTGCCCCATAGAATTGAATATCTCAGTGTGAATTAGTTTATCCAACCTTTTCTAAGATGCTAGCTGAAAGCTGGGAAAGGAGCTGAGAGCTTTGAAAGGAGGAAGAAGAGTATTACGTAAGTTTAGGGGTGGAAAAGGGGAAGAAAGAGGGGTAGGGCGCTAAAAGGAGAGACTAAAAGAAGAGAAATTTGAGACTGTAATTTTGCCTCACATCAGCCCTATAGTGATGAGTGAAGGAGGAGAGAGGGAAAAGGAGGCGGAGAGAGAGAGAGACAGACAGACAGACAGGTACATAGAAAATTACAGAATGATTTGGGTGTGAGATTGTGTTATTAAGAATGTGTATGGGGATATTGAGACCAATAAAGAAAAGTTTCTTCATACAGCATCTAAGTCACAGGTTTAAACAAGTGAACACTAATGTTTGCATACACTTCTAAATTATATGACTGGAGAATAAAATCAATCAGTGGACCAGAATAGAAATTCCAGAAAGAGCACCAAAGGTATATTAAAAATTCATGTTTGATAAACCTCTACATATTAAATACTGGGGAAATGAATCATTATTCAAGTATGCTGTCGGGAAAAATTAGTTCTCTCTCTCTCTCTCTCTCTCTCTCTCTTTCTCTCTCTCTCTTTCTTACTCACACATACCCCAAATTTAGGTCCATACCTCATACCACAAATCACAAAATAAATGTCAGCAAGATCCAAAATTAATTATTTTTAAACCACAGATTAGAAGAAAATGGAATAATATATTTGTCTCAGTTTTAGAAGGCAGATAAATTCTTGTCTATCAAACAAATGTTAGAAATTGTCAGGGACAAGGTAAATGGATTTATTATATACATATAAAAATGATTCTGTACGATGAGAAATAATACAGCCAAGATAAAAACAAAGCAATTATTTGGAGGAAAATCTTTTTTTTGTCAGATAAAAACCTGACATCCAGAACAGAGGAATATATAAGAGCTAGCCTTATTTCCAATAGTAAAAGAATATGAATAGAAAATTTACAAAAGAAGATATATGAACTATAAATAATTGCTTGAAAAAATCTACTTTCACTAATTTAAAAAAAGTGAATTAAAACAAAGTACTATTTTATGTCTAGAAAAATAGATACAAATAACAAAATTCAATGCTACTGGGAACGTGAAGAAAGATATATTCAAACATTGTTGGTGACAAAATATAACAATCTTTTGGGAGAGCAATCTAACTACAGAAAAAGAGCATAAAACTGATCATACTTTCAATTTAATAATCTCATTACTAGGAATTTGCCTCAAGAATACAATTACAAAGAAAAAAAGTATTGTATTCGTAAAGATATTCATAGCTATATGTAGAGTCATAGCCATATGTACTATGAAAATTTAAAAAGCAAAATGTTCAATGATTGAGAAGTAGCTAAACCAGTTGTGGTATATTAATATAAAGAAATATTATATGTTAATGACCTGCAAATTCATCAGTATGAGAGCTCAGGATATGGGAATTCCCTACATCTACAAAGATCACAACTCATCTATAATTTATAGTGAAGGTGTTGCCTAAGACTCAGTGACCTTAAGTGACTTACCCATGGTCTACAGCTGTGTCATGGTTGAGTTGTTTTTCAGTCATGTCTGATTCTTCGTGACCCTATTTGGGGTTTTCTGGGCAAAGATACTGGAGTGGTTTGCCATTTCCTTCTCCAGCTAATTTTACAGATTGAGGAACTAAGGCAAACAGGGTTAAGTGACTTCTCCAGGGTCACACAGCTAGTAAGCTTCTGAGGCCAGATTAGAACTCACAAAGAGGAGTATTTCCTGACTCCAGGCTTGGAACTCCATCTACTCTAGGCCACCTAGCCGGTCTCACAGCTTTTATCAATCCTTGGTCTTCCTGACACCAAGGCCAGCAATCTATCCACTACCCCACAGTACAGATAGGATAATTCTAATGCCATTAAAATGACAAATAAAAAAGAATACAAAGTAATATCAGAAAACATGAAATAATGGAAAGGGAAGAAGTTAGAACTAGAAATACAACACACACATTAAGACTACATAAAATATATTCATTGAGACATATGCTAATGTATGAAGAGATGGTGAGGGGATAGAGAGGAAATAACTGAATAAATACTTTCATAGAGACAGCTAGGTAGTGCAGTGCATAGAGAGCTGGACTTGGAGCTGGGAAGACCTGAGTTCAAATCCTGTCTCTGACACTTACTAACTGTACGGCTGTGAAAGAACCACTTAACTTTTCATAGCCTCAGTTTCCTCATCTGTAAAATGGTGATAATAGCACCTTCCTGCCAGGATTTGGGGATTGAATGAACTAACATATGATAAGCCCTTTACAAACCTTAAAGCTTTATATGATTGCCAATTACTATTATTATTTATTTGGAAATGTGTTCTTGATTGAAATGGTTTCAAATATGTGTTCAATTTTTTCATTCATCAAAGTTAAATTCATAATTAAAATACGTAATATGACTCAATTTCTCTACCAGGATGCCATGGGCGGATAGGTAGTACTCCAGGATCAAAAGGAATCAGGAGAACGGGCTGGGTGCTGGGGGAAAGGAAATAAAAGGTTTGGTCAACTGAAAAGGAGACAAAGAAAAATTAGAGCTAAGAGGGAAAAATATCAGTGGTGCTTTGGAACATTTTTAAAAATCCACTCAGTTATAAAATAGTCAGGTATTATCTGCATTAAACTGTTCCCAGCATCAGCAAATCTGAGTTAGTGGAGGAATTCCCATTCCCTGTCGAGATCATCCAGCTCTTCTCTCCCAGACAGCCCCTCCTTCCCCTTAGGGGAGGTAGGGAAGGATCCAGGTAGCTGATGGCCTTACAATGCCCATAAATAAAAGCTTCTCAAGTGCCCAGGAAGTGTGGCCAGGCTTTGGGCCCTACTTCTCTCGAGCATACGAAGATGCAGATGAGGTCCAGCTGAACTTGCTCCTTCCCTGGGGCAGCACTAAATCCAATGTGAGGTCCTTCTGTTCCTTCTCAGAGTCAACTGGCCGGTAGCCCAGCACCCGGAGGGCGCCCGCGCACAGCTCTTGTACCCGGTGGATCTTTGGGAAGGGGAGAGCATGGCGCCAGGCCTGGGAGACGTTGAGGGCATCTCGAGAGGTGATCTTGAAGGCCTCTTTAAGCTGGCCAGGCCCCTGGCCGTGCGTAATGTTATAGATCCAGCCCTCCAGCTGCGGGGTGAGGCGCAGCCCCGCGAAGTCGTACATGCTTTGGATCTCGGCCAGCGGGTTTCGCACCAAGTCCTCAAAGCGCACCAGACGATAGCGGCCCTGCAGAAAGGGCGGTGGCTTCTGCATGGCCACCTCGGTGATGCGCACGTGGCTGCGGCACACCTCCTGCACTACCCGCAGCCCGGGGTCTGCTTCCACCCACGTCCCGTTGGTGCCCAGCACGATGCCGTTGTCCCGCGCCAAGGCCTTGGCCGACTGCTCGCGAGACTTGAGCACGGCTCGGGGATCCCGGACCAAGTGGATAATGTGCAGGTTGAGGGAGGGGTCGGTCAGCAGCGGGTAGAGAACCTGCAGGTTGAAGAAGCGCACCTCCTTGAGCACCACGTGGCTGTAGGAGCGGCAGGCTTTCGCCACGGCCCTGAAGGGCTGCTGCCCGCACCGGCTCTTGCAGGCAGCCTCACTAGTGATGTCCTCTCTCCGGAAGGCGCTGCAGGCGGGCGGGGAGCACAGGGCTCGACTGACGGCCCACTGGAAGAGGTCAGACAGGGTTCGGTACCAGGGCAGGTAGGCACTGAAGACGTTCATGTCACAGAGGAAGACGGAGCGCACCAGGTCCCGCACAGCCATGTGCAGCACCTCAGCATTGCTCTGGGAGAGGGTCACCCACACGTGCCAGGCTGGTTCCATCAGGTAAAAGACGTCCGGGTGCTGGCTGAACAGCTGCCCCACAAAGGAGGAGCCGGAGCGCCACGAGGACAGGATCAGCACGTGGACGTGGGCCGGCTTCTCCTTAAGGGAGGGCAGCAGATGGTTGTGGTGCGTGTACAGGTAGAGCAGGAGGCCCGTCTGTACCATGAAGAGGACAGCCATGCCAGTGCTGGAAATTCGCAGCCAGGCCATGGTGGCACAGGGGGCCTACAGAGGAAGGAAAGGCCAGTCAGCCTCCATAGTCATCCCATGTCCCCCTCATCCCTGGTCCAGCCCTTTCAGGAAGTTTAAGAACAGTCCATCATCTCCAGTGTTGCCTGGCACCCTGGGCACATCCTATTCCTTTCCCAGACTTTGCATCTGTTTCCCCTTCTATGATTCGGAGAGAAACTAACTTACCTATTGTCCAGGGCCACTGGAAAGTATGATCTGTACTGTTAGCATAGATATTATTACATTATGTTCTATTGCTATATAATCTATACTGTTAGTAAAGAAAACCAATCTATGTAAAGAGCCTAATAATTCATAACTGCATTTAAATAATAATGAAGAAAGCAAATGCCTTTTTAAGAGGAGAGATTAAGGCCCAGAAAAGCACCCTGAGAAGGTGCTTCTTAAGGAAGCACTAGGGATAAGATCATCATATAAACTCCCCATCTCAACTAGAGTATAAATTGCATAAGATCAGGGAAATGTGTTTTCTTCTCTACCTCAGAGGGGTCCTGGGCATATAAATGATACTCAACAAACCTGATTAATTTAGGTGAATAGAATTCATTAATTCTACAAAATGAATAAATTAATGAATGAGTTGGAAAAATGGGAGTGAGTTCTTTGCCTAATTTCAACTCCCTGAGCTAAATAGCAAAGGGGTAGGAGATTACTGAACTCTTAGGATGCAAGGGGAATACCATGACCACGTCCTACAGGTACAATTACTGAATCTCTATCCCTGGTCTGTCTTAGGTCTCTGCCCTTTCTATCAGATTACCTAATAAGGCTAGGTGCCTCTGTAAATAGAGTATTGGGCTTGGTGTCAGGAAGACCTGAGTTCAAATCCAGCCTCAGGTACTTGCTAGCTGTGTGCTCCCGGGCATGCCACTTAACCACTGTCTGCCTGGGTTTCTTCATCTGTAAAACAGGGAGAATAATAGCACCTATTCCAAGATTGCTGTAAGGATAAAACGAGATATTTGTAAAGCCCTTTGTGGGGTGTCTGAGAAGTCAGTGCAGTTTTAAGCCTTCATAGCCCTGTATTTTAGTTGGGATTCAAACTCAGGTCTTCCTGACTCCAATTTCCTGTGCTTTATTCACTGTGGAACACCACACTGGATTTGGAGTCAGAGGATATGAATTCAAATCCTGATTTAGTTACTTGTTACATATGTAACCTTTAAGCAAATTACTAAAACCCCATGGGACAGTTTCCAAATTTGTAAAATAAATCATTGGACGAGGTCATCTCTAAAGTCTCTAGCTGCTCTAGAAATTCAGGCTATACTTGAGCATATATTTTGATTAACATTGGATCAAATGAAATAACACATGCAAAGCTTTTTGCAGACCTTAAAGCACTACATAGATGCCAACTATTTTGTTGTTATTATAGTAGGGCTCCTGTATCTTAAAGTCTTCCAAACATGCCATGCTCATTCCAGAGTCCTAGCTCTCATACTACTCCTGTCCTCTGTCCTCTCCAAATTCTATCTGTCCTTCAGGGATCAGTTCATGTCTCACCTTCTCCATGAAACCCTCCCAGATCATTAGATTCATAATATGAAGTGTTATTTCCCCCTTCTTACACAGCTCTCATTTTGGGACATAGTCTTATTATCTTACATTGTTTATTTAACCATTTCATATGTGTATGTTTAGCCTTTCCAACTAGTTAGTAAACTTGGAGGCAGGCACTGTCTTCTTTCACACCTCCCAAAGTACTTAGCATAGTACTTGGTATGAAGTAGGTGTTCAATAAATATTTGCTTCCTCTTTGTTCCACCAAAACTGCTCTTTCCAGCGTTACTAGTGACCTACTAATTGCTAAATGCAATGGCCTTTTTTCAATCCTCATTCTCCTTGACCTCTCTACAGCCTTTCATCCTGCTGATCACCCTCTTCTCCTCGATACACTTCTCTCAAGGTTTTTGGGACACCACTCTCCTGCTTCTCCTCTCATCTACCCGGCTGCTCCTTCTCTCTCCTTTGCTAGATCCTCTTCCAGGGCATGTCCATTAACTGTAGGTATCTCAAAGAGTTCTATCCTGGGCCATCTTCTCTTCTCCCTTTATATTGCTTCACTTGGTGATCTCATTAGTTCCCATGGATTTAATCACCATCTCTATGCTGATGATTCTCAAATCTACCTATCCTATCCCAGTCTTTCTGCTGAGCTGCAATCTCACATCTCCAACTGCCTTTCAGACATTTCGAACTGGATGTTCAGTAGACATCTTAAATTTAACATATCTAAAATTAAACTCATGATCTTTCCCCCTAAACCCTCCCTAGCTCCTACTTTTCCTATTACTTTAGAGAGCAACACCATCCTCTCAATCCCTCAGGATCACAACCTAGGAGTCATCCTTCACTATCTCTCAACCCCCATATCCAGTCTGTTGCCAAGGCCTGTCTATTTCATCTTTGCACTATCTCTTGAATACGCGCCCTTTTTGCCTGTGACACTGCCACCACTCTGGTGCAGGCCCTCATCACCTCATATCTGGAGTATTGTAGTAACCTGCTGGTGGGTTGGCCTGCCTCTGGTCTCTTCCCTACTCTGATCTATCCTCTATTCAGCCACCAAAGTAATCTTCCTGATCATGCCAGCCCCTCATACAATATACTCCAGTGACTTTCTGCCACCTCCAGGATCAAATATGAAATGCTCTGTTTGGCCTGAAAAGCCCTTCAGAAACCTAGCCCCCTCTTCAACCTCACTCCCCAACACATACCCTTTGATCCAATGATATTGATCTCCTGGCTGTTCCATCAATAAGACACTCCATCTCTTGGCTCTGGGCATTTTCTCTGGCTGTCTCTCATGGCTGGAATGCTCTACCTGCTCATCTCCATCTACTGGCTTCCCTGGCCTCCTTTAAGACCCAGCTAAAATCCCATCCTACACCAGAAGCCTTTCCCAACCCCTCTTAATGCTAGTGCCTTCCCTCTCTTAGTTATTTCCTGTTTCTCCTGCATATAGCTTGTTTGTACATGTGTCTGCTTGTTATCTCCCCCACTAGATTGTGAGCTCCTTGAGGGCAAGAACTGTCTTTTACCTCTTTTTATACTTCCAGTGTCTAGCACAGTACCTGGCACATAGTAGGTGCTGAATAAATGTTGGACCAACTTATCTCTAAGTTCCCTTACAATTATAAATCTATAATCCTAGGAAGCCAAAGATACTACACTTGGTAGGTTAGAGGGTAAGAAATATAAAGGGGAAATGGTCCTTCTTTGATTTGGCAGCAAAAGGATTCCTATTTAGACAGACTTGTATTCCGAACAACATTTATTGCCCCTATCTGACAGGGTAGCAGAGAGATACTGTTCTTTCTGTTTTATCGAAGGGGAATTTGAGGCATGGAGAGAGGGTTGATCTTTGATCAGCAACAGCTGGAGTGCAGATCTATGGATTCTTCATTTACCTGTATGCTTCCTAAGACTTGAGACAGCTAGATGGCAAAGTAGAAAGAGTGTCAGACCTGGAATCAAGTAGACCTGAGCTCAAATCCAGCCTCAGATACTACTATTACCCTAGCAAGTCACTTAACCACTGCCTGCCTCAGGGTCCTCACCTGTAAAATGGTGATAATGATAGTACCCACACCTCAGGGTTGTTGTAAAGGTAAAATGAGATATTATTTGTAAAGCATTTTGCAAACCTTGAAGTATCACATAGATGCTAGCTATTATTATATTAAAGACTCCCTTGTTCCTCAGTAGACCTCTGCTCTTACTGGTCTTGTCAATGTCTACAGTTTCTTCCTCTTACAGCCCAAGCATAGAATCTGAAGGGGTGGGATGCAACGCTAGGTACAAATACTGGACTCAGATTCCTCTCATCTTGATGTCATAGCAGGGGTAAATCATTGTCCAGCAGGGCTATGCCATAAGATTAGGAAATAAATAAGCCTGGGAGAAGAGGAAAAAAGAGGAGGAGAAAAGGGGTAGAAGAGGGGGAAGAAAAGGAAGAAAGAATAGCAGCAGGAAGTCAAGGAGGGAGGGATAAAGCAGGAGAAAAAGTCTCTTGAGGTGAGGTTTGATAAAGTGTCATCAGGACAGCCTCTGAGAACCACCCAACCTTTGTCTCCAATGATCTGATGGAAAGATTTGTCTGTGCCTGTGCTAGGAAGCTGGGGGGGAATCAGAGCTCTCCAAGGGTTAGCCAGGAAGTAGGGGCCCAGTAAAGAGAAAAGGATACTCCAGCAGTTCTGGGTTAAAGACTTGTTGAAAAGAGAATGTAAAGGGGCAACTAGGTGATGCAGTGAATAGAGCTCCGACCTTGGAGTCAGGAGGACCTGAGTTCAAATATGACCTCAGACACCGACACTTACTTGCTATGTGACCTTGGGCAAGTCACTTGACCCCAACTGCCTCACCAAAAGGCAGAAAAAAAAAAGAGAGAGAAAATGTAAAGAAAGCCTCAGGTAGGACAGCCTTTGGGCTTTGGTTAGGCGTGCTATCTCCTTCCCTGCCTTGAATCATTTCTTTACAGACCTTACTAGGGCAACTGGACACAGGTGGATCTGCCTTCTCTCCACTCCTCCTAATAGTGATAATAGGGATACTCATTTAGGGTCTGAGAAATGAATCTTCAGCCACCAGGAATCCTAGAGAGGGGGATAGCTCGGGCTAAACAGCAACACTCATGCTGGGCCCCATCCTTCTCCCCACAATACACACACACACACACACACACACACACACACACACACACACACACA